TTTGTATTTTTTAACTTTCTGCGTTTACAATTTTTTCGGGTTTTCATTTTTTTTTCAGTTATTTCATTTTTTATTTTTTCAATTCTTCGAATGAGTTTTTCGATTCGTCGATTTTTCAATTTTTCGATAACTCAATTTTTGATTGTTAAATTTTTCCGTATTTCACTTCTGCGATATTTCAATCTTTAGGAGGATTTTAAATTTTTTAATTTCCATATTTTCAGTTTTTTTAACGATTTGACATTTCCGATTTTTGAATTTTTCAAGTTTTTGAATTCCCAATTTTTGAGTTTTTCATTTTTTGGTATTTTACTAAAGGATCTTTAAATTTTTAGATTTGTCATTTTTCATCTTCCACTTTTTCGATTTTTGAATTTTTCGATTATTCATTTTCGTTAGATTTTTCAATTTCAAATTTTGAATTTTCTGTTTTTCGGCTTTACGATTGTTTCAATTTCGGAAGTTCTCCATTTTCAATTCTCCAGCTTTTCAGATTTTAATTTTTCTGATTTTTCACTTTTTCGATTCAATTTCCCAATTTCAAAAATTTCGAAACCTTCAAAATCGTCGAATTTCTGATTTTTCTATTAGTCAATGTTTCTATTTTTTCAATTTTTTTGAATTTTCAATTTTTGAATTTTTCAATTTCCCAATTTCTCATTTAACCTTTAAAAAATGGAAGAATTTAAAAAGTAAAAAAATCTAGAAATTGAAAAATCAACAACTCCAAAAATCAAAAATTAAAAAATCGAAAAAAAAATTTTAAAAATGATAATGAAACCACTTATAAAGCAAATCCACATTATGTAATAATAAATGTTTTGTAAATGGAATATTTTGAAAAATAATGGATAAAGTGTAAGTGCATCGATTAAAATCTTTAAGGTGACAAGATTAGATCAAACAAACATTTATGTACAAGATTTATCCATTTTGTACATTTTGAATTCGATAAGATAAAAACAGAATCCAAAAGATAATTACAGTAAAATAACTGTCAAAAAAGCGTCAAATAGCTGCAATGCCAACATTATTATTAAAAAAAAAATGCACTGCCAACTAGAGGTTTTTTTCATCATATTTTACTACTTCCACAGTATTCCACAGTATTTTTCAGGCTTTCTCTTTTTGAACTTTCCGATATTTCACTTATTTCATTTTAAAATTTTTCGATGTTGCAATTTTTGATGTTTCAAATTTCCGATGTTCAAGTATTTCGGTTTTTCAATTTGTCAGTTTTTTAATGTTCTTTTTGAATTTTTAATTTTTAAAATATTTGAAATTTTCATTTTTGTTTTTTTTTTTTTTGTACATTTTTCGATTTTTTTATTCAGTTTTTGAATTTTTCAATCCTTGCTTTTTCCAATTGTTCGATTTTTTTAGTTTTTCAGTTTTTTCATTTTCTGATTTTTCGATTTTTCCAATTTTCATTTTTTCGATTTCTCAACTTTAGATTTTTTGGTTTTCCGTCCTTCGCTTTTAGATTTTTCCGGTTTTCACTTTTTTGACATTTTAATTTTTAGAGTTTTCAATTTTCAAGTATCATAATTTTAGTTTCCCAGTGTGGATTTTCAAAATTTTCGATTTTTTAGATGTTCAATTTTTCGATTTTCCATTTTTTTGAATTTTCTATTCCAATTTTCAAATGTTCATCCTTTCAATTTTTGATTTTCCAGTTTTTCAATATTTCACTTCTTATTTTTAGAATTCTCAGTTTTAATTTTGTGTAATTTTAAATTTTTCGATTTTTCAATTTGCAATTTTAAAATTTTTCAAATTTTCAATTTTTGACTTTTTAATCATTGTATTTTTTGACCTCCATTTATTCCATTTTTTGAAATTTCCGTTTAATTTTATCAGATTTCAATTATTTTTAAATTTTTTAATTTTTTATTTTTTCAGTTTATCATAATTTCTATCACTTAATTTTTTAATTTTTCACTTTTTCGAAATATCAATTTTTCAAACTTTTGAATTCTCAATTTTTGAGTTTTCGATTTTTTGGTCTTTCACTTTCGTCGATTTTTAAATTTTTAGAGTTGTCATTTTTATATTTTTGGAATCAGCAGAATTTTTTTTAGACAACTTTTTTAAACCTTGAAACTTGAACGTATTTCACATTTTCTATTTTTTAAATTTTAGAACTTTTAATTTTTCAATTTTCAGTTTTCAATTTCTCAATTTTTCGATTTTTCAATATTTCATTTTTCCGATTTTTCACTTATTCCAAATTTCTGTTTTTTTATTTATTCGATTTTTTCGATTGGTGTACTACTCAATTTTTCAATTTCTTAATTTTTCGATCTTCCATCCTTCCATTTTTTTTTCTATTCCAATTTTCAGATTTTCATCTTTTCAATTTTTAATTTTTTCAATTTATCAAAATTTCAATCAATTAATTTTTTATTTTTCGATATCCCCGTATTTCACATTTTCTATTTTTTTGATTTTTAGAATTTCTATTTCTTCAATTATCAATTTTCAGTTTCTCATTTTTCCAATTTTTTCGATTAGTTCAATTTTTGATTTTTCGGTTTTTCCGTTTTTCACTATTAGATTTTTCCGGTTTTCACTTTTTCGATATTTTAATTTTTAGAGTTTTCAATTTTTTAATTACCATAATTTTGGCTTCCTAAATTTTGGATTTTCAAATTTTCGATTTTTCAGATTTTTAATTTTTCGATTTTTCTATCTTTTTGTTTCCGTTCCAATTTTCAGATTTTTATCCCTTCAACTTTCAGATGTTTTTGATTTTTCGATTTTTCAATTCGCAAATTTTAAAATTTTTCAAATTTTTAATTTTTGCATTTTTCATCATTCGATCATTTTTTCAATTTATCAAAATTTCAATCACTTAATTTTTAACTTTTTGATTTCTCCGTATTTCACATTTTTTAATTTTTCAAATTTTTCCAGTTTTGTTGATTTTCCAGTTTTCTGATTTTTTCACTTTTTAATTTTTCAGTTCACCCATATTTTTTTAATTTAGTTTTGTTTACTTTTATATCTTTCAATTTTTGGATTTTTGATCAAAGGATTTTTCGACTTTTTAATTATTATTATTCGATTTTGGAATTTTTCAATTTTTTAATTTTCAGTTATTCCATTCTTCAAATTTTCAGTTTTTTAATTTTCCGAAGTTTCAATTAGTATTTCACTTTCCAATTTTAATTTTTTCAATTTTAATTTTTAGAATTTTCAATTCTTCAATTTTTTATTTCCAGTTTCTGAATTTTTAAATTTTTCGAACTTTCAATTTTTGGTTTTTTTTTAATCCATTTTTATGCTTTTTAATTCAGTTTTTGATTTTGCCAATCCTTTTTTCCAATTTTTGGATTTTTCAGTTTTCCGATTTTTTCACTTTTCATTTTTTCATTTATTACTATTTTCAATTTTCAGATTTTCATTCCTTCAATTCTCGAAAGTTGCACCTATTAAATTTTTTTGTTTTCCCAATTTCTGATTTTTATAATTTTTCCGTATTCCCATTTTTTGCTTTTTTAAATTTTCATTTTCTGATTTTTTTTATGTTCATTTTTCGATTTTCATATTTTTCGGGTTTTCTATTTTGTAACCTCATGCATTTAAAATTTTTCCAGTTTTTCATTTTTTTAATTTTTTCGAATGTTTTTCGATTTGTCAATTTTTCGATTTTTTTATTACTTACTCAATATTTTATTGTTCAGTTTTTCCGTATTTCACTTTCTCGATATTTCAATTTTTGGATTTTAAATTTTTCGACTTTTTAATTCCATATTTCCAGTTTCTTACCGTCGCGATTTTTCCGTTTTCCCAATTTTTAAATTTTTAGATTTGTCATTTTCTTATTTCCAAAATTTTAGAGTTTTCAATTTTTCAATTTTACCGATTTTTCAGTTTTTCTATTTTTCAATTACGCAGTTATTCGATATTTTAATTTTTTCATATTTTCATTTCTTCAATTTTCTAATGTTTCAATTATTTAATTTTTTGATTTTCCCAATTTTTGATTTTTCGATTTTTCCGTGTTCTCATTTTTTTGTTTTTCCGTGTTTCCATTTTGGATCTTTTAATTTATAGTATTTTGAATACTTGAACTTGCCGATTTTTCACTTTTTCAAATTTTCATTTTCTGACTTGAATTTTTCGATTATTCATTTTCGTTCGATTTTTTAATTTTAAATTTTTGAAATGTTTCAAATTTTTTATTTTCTATTTTTCGGCTTTACGATTACTTTACTTTCGGAAATTCCAATTTTTTAGTTTTTTGAATTTTTCAGTTATTCCAATTTTCAAATTTTCAATATTCGATTTTCTGATGTTTCAATTTTTCCATTTTCTATTTTGTAGAATGTTCAGTTTTTCTGATTTTTCGATTATAAATTTTTTACTGAATTTTTAACTTTTGAATTTTTCAATTTCCCTACTTCTCAGTTAACCTCTAAATTGTTCGATCAAAATTTAAAATATTTCTAAACCATTCAATTGCCGGTTTTGCTTATGATCGATTTGTTAATTTAGATTGTTGGGTAATTACTTCAATTTTCTATTGTTCAACGAAAGATGTCCTTCGAAAAATCGAAAAATTTGAAAAACGAAAACTCAAAAAATTGAGAACCTGAAAAACTGAGAAATTGAGAAATCTGGAAATTAAAAAATGAAAATGTAAAAAATAAAAAAAATCTTATCTTGTTAATGGAACTTTATGAAAAATGAGTGCAAGTGCATCAATTAAAATCTTTAAGGTGACAAGATTAAATCAAACACACATTTATGTACAAGATTTATCCATTTTGTACATTTTGAATTTGATAAGATGTCTTGTGTAATTTTTTATGAACAGATGACGTATATCTATGGCTATGCGATTTGATAAAACAAACGACTGTCAAAAAAGTGTCAAATAGCTGCAATGCCAACATATTTATTTTAAAAATAAATTACCCACCCTACAAGAGAAGTTTGTCCCGCTTACCTCAAAATTATGAAAGCATTTCTAACCTCACTCTTGTTCTCTTCAGGTTACGGCCGCCTCTCCCCCCGCACGGCCCTCGGCAAAGTCGTCGCCGTGCTCTACGCCCTCGTCGGCGTCCCCCTCATGCTCATCCTCCTCTCGGCCCTCGGCGCCATGCTGGCCACCGGAGCCCGAAAGGCCTACTCGAAACTATGCTGCCACACCGACAGCGGCAAGAAGAGTCCTTCAGTGGGCTACCACAAGGCGCCTTCCAGCCCCTCGGGTAAACTGTACTGCAAAACCCACGAAGGTGCGTCTTCCCCCCGATCGCCACCATACTCACCCCTCTGTTGCAGACTCCGCCTCGATCCAGATCGCCTCTTCCCACAGCACCCCCAACCACGTCTGCAAGAACAGCTACCAGTACGTGGAGCACGGGGAGATCCCCAAGCGGACGGTGTTGGCGACGGTGAAGGCCAGCCACGCCAGGGGCCGCTGCAGGCAAGGCCAAGTCAGACAGATGCTGGCCGACACCTCCCTCTGTCCGGCGCACAGTCACGGAACACCGACGAAGAGCTCGCTAATCATAGGGTCGACGTCGGACGTGGACGACGCCGACGAAGGGGACGAGGGCGAGCACGTGTAAGACAGCGACCAGAGGCGGCTCGTCAATTCTTGCATTTTGTGAAGTTTTAACGACGAGCCGCCGCTGAAAGTACCAACAAAAAAATCCAACTGAACACGAGAAGATGTTCAAAATTCCTGCATTGTTGCCAAATTTTGGTCATTTTCTTGTGAAAGTTAGTGAGTACTTGCTAAGATAAAACTGATTTTTTCAAATCTAAGAAAAGAGAGGGTGGGTGGGCGGGGCTAGTAATTCCTAGGATAAGACTGATTTTGGCAAGTGACATACTTTCTAAGAAAAGAGAGGGCGGGTGGGCGGGGCTAGTACCTGCTGAGATAAAACTGATTTTGGCAAATGACACTTTGTAAGAAAAGAGAGGGTGGGTGGGCGGGGCTAATACGTGCTAAGGTAAAACTGATTTTGGCAAATGATGTACCCGAGAGAGGGCGGAGCATATTGCTTCTTACTTGATTCATGTCTGGATTTTCATGAAATATCCAAGAACTGAAAATCGAAAAATGAAACATGAGAAAATCGAAAAAATGTAAAATTCAAAAGTTCTAAAATTTAAAAATCGAGAAATCGAAACTCCCAAATTTAAAAAATCGGATAACTGAAAAATCGAAACATCGAAAGACTGGAAAATCGAAAAATCGAAAAATCAAAAGATCAAGAAATCATGGAGTCGAAAAGTCGAACAACTGAGAAACCGAAATAGGCCAAAATCGAAAAATCGAAAAATTGAGAATTGAACTATTTATAAATTGAGAAATTGATAATCGAAATATTGAAAAGTCTAAATCTCGATAAATCGGGAAATCAAAAAACTTAAAAATTCGAAAAATTGAAAAATTGAGAGATTGAAAGATCAAAAGAACGAGAAATCGAAAAGTGATGAAGTCGAAAAATCGAAAAATAGAGAAATCGACGAACAAAAAGTCAAAAGTTGAAAAATTGGAAAAGCGGAAAAATCAAAAAACGAAAAAATGGAAAACTGGAAAAACTGAGAAACCGAAATAGGCCAAAATAAAAAATTGAAAAACTGATGAATCGAAAACCTGAACAATCAAATCTCGGTAAATCGGGAATGAAAAATTAACAAATAGAAAAATTGGAAAACAAAACATCTAAAACCAGGAAGTCGAAAAATCGAAAGATTAAGAAATATTGAAAAATCGAAAAAGTAAAAAGGTAGACACATCGAAAAATCCAGAAGTCAAAAATAGAACAGCCGAAGAATTGAAATATTGAAAAATTCTAAAACTGAAATATCTAAAAACTGAAAAATCGAAAAATCAAAAAAGCGAAGTCGAAAAATAGAAACCTTAAAAAATCGAAAAATTGAAAAATCATAAACCTGAAAAATCAAAAAATTAAAGAACAGGAAAATCGAAACACTCGAAGGTCAAGAAATGGGAAAATCAAAACATCGATTAATTGAAAAATCGAAAAATTGAGAGTTTATGAAATTTGAAAAATTAAAAAATCGAAAATTTGACAAAATGACAATTAAAAAACAGAAAATCCAAAACGGGGAAGTCGAAAAATCAAAAGATTAAGAAATCGAAACATTTGAAAAATTCGAAAACGTGAAAAATCGAGAAATCGAAAAATCTAAAATTTTAAAAATTAAAAAATCTAAAATTTAAAAATCGAAGAATTGAAAAATCCCAAAACGGAGATATCCAAAAACTGAAAAATGAAAGAAAAACTGAAAAATGGAAAACCTGAAAAATCCTAAAACTGAAATATCCAAAAACTGAAAACCTAAAAAATCGAAAAATTGAGCAATCGAAAAATCCAAAAAGTGAAGTCGAAAAATCGAAACCTTAAAAAAATTAAAAAATGAAATATCTAAAAATTAAAGAATTGAAGAACAGGAATGTCCAAAACTCTCGAAAGTCAAGAAATGGGAAAATTGAAAAATCGAAAAATTGACTGTTTATGTCAAATTTGAAAAATTGAAAAATCGAAAATTTGAAAAAACGACAATTGAAGATAGAAAATCTAAAACCGAGAAGTCGAAAAATCGAAAGATTAAGAAATCAAAACATTTGAAAAATTGAAATGTGGAAGAGCTGAAATGAAAAATGGAGCAATCGAAAAATCTAAAATTTAAAAATCGAAAAAGTAAAAAGTCGATACATCGAAAAATCCAGAAGTCAAAAATGGAAAAGTCGAAGGACAGAAATTTGAAAAATCGCAAAACTGGAATATCGAAAAACTGAAAAATGAAAGAAAAACTGACGAATCGAAAAACTGAAATATCCAAAAACTAAGAACCTAAAGAATCGAAAAATTGAAAAATCAAGAACTTGCAAAATCGTAAGATCGAAAAATTGAATAATACGCAAACTGAAAAATCCCAAAACTGAAGTGTCAAAAACTGAGAAACTAAAAAATTGAAAAATTTGGAAATCGAAAAATCAAAAAAGTGAAGTTGAAAAATCGAAACCTGAAAAAATGGAAAAATTGAGAAACCAAAAAACCTGAAAAATCAATTAATTGAAAAATCGACAAATAAAGGGTTAATAAAAGTCAAAAATTGAAAAATTGAAATATTTAAAAATCGTAAAATTGAAGAGAAAAACTGAAAACCGATAAATTGAAAAATTGAGACATTGTAAAATCCAAAAATTGAAATATCTAAAAACTGAAAAATCGAAAAACCAAAAAGTGAAGTCGAAAAATGCAAACCTTAAAAAATCGAAAAATTGAAAAATCAAGAAAATTAAAGAACTGAACAACAGGAAAATCGAAACATGGTCAAGAAATGGGAAAATCAAAACATGGATTAATTGAAAAATCGAAAAATTGAGAGTTTATGAAACTCAAATTTGAAAAACTAAAAAATCGAAAATTTGACAAAATGACAATTGAAAAACAGAAAATCTAAAACCGGGAAGTCGAACAATCAAAAGATTAAGAAATCGAAACATTTGAAAAATTCGAAAACGTGAAAAATTCAAATATCGAAGAACTGAACTGAAAAATCGAGAAATCGAAAAATCTAAAATTTTCAAAATTAAAAAATCTAAAAATATAAAAACAGAAAAATTGAAAAATCGAAAAAGTAAAATACTCAACACATCGAAAAATCCAGGAGTCAAAAATCGAAAAGTCGAAGAATTGAAATATTGAAAAATCCCAAAACTGAGATATCGAAAAACTGAAAAATGAAAGAAAAAACTGGAAAATGGAAAACCTGAAAAATCCGAAAACTGAAATATCCAAAAACTGAGAACCTAAAAAGACGAAAAAATTCAGAAACGTTAAAATTTGAAAATTTTAAAAATATTGAAGAACTGAAAAATCTAAAACTCCAAAAATCCAAAAAATTTGAAAAAAATGAAAATTTGGAAAAATCCAAAAAATCTGGAAATTTTGGAAAATTCAAAAAATCTGGAAATTTTAAAAAATCCAAAAAAGCTGGAAATTTCGAGAAATCCAAAAAATCTGGAAATTCTGAAAAATCCAAAAAATCTGGAAATTTTGAAAATTTCAAAAAATCTGGAAATTTTGAAAAATCCAAAAAATCTGGAAATTTTGAAAAATTCAAAAAATCTGGAAATTTTGAAAAACCAAAAAATCTGGTAATTTTGAGAATTCAAAAAAATCTGGAAATTTTTAAAAATCTCCAAAAAATCTGGAAATTTTGAAAATACCAAAGAATCTGGAAATTTTGAAAATACTAAAAATTGAGAAACCGAAATAGGCCAAAATCTAAAAGTTAAAAATTGAGCAATTTATAAATTGAGAAATTGACAATCAAAATATCGAAAAATCCAAATCTCGGTAAATCGAGAAATCAAAAAACTTAAAAATTCGAAAAATTGAAAAACTGAGAAATTGAAAGATCCAAAGAACGAGAAATCGAAAAGTGATGAAGTCGAAAAATCGAAAAATAGGGAAATCGACAAACAAAAAGTTGAAAGTTGAAAAATTGGAAAAGCGGAAAAATCAAAAAACGAAAAAATGGAAAACTGGAAACACTGAGAAACCGAAATAGGCCAAAATAAAAAATTGAAAAACTGATAAATCGAAAACCTGAACAACCAAATCTCGATATCGATAAATCGGGAATGAAAAATTAACAAATCGAAAAATTGGAAAACAGAACATCTAAAACCAGGAAGTCGAAAAATCGAAAGATTAAGAAATATTGAAAAATTAAAATATCAAAAGATTGAAAAATCTAAAATTTAAAAATCCAAAAACTGAAAAATCGAAAAAGTAAAAAGGTAGACACATCGAAAAATCCAGAAGTCAAAAATAGAAAAGCCGAAGAATTGAAATATTGAAAAATCCTAAAACTGAAATATGTACAAACTGAAAATTCGAAATATCAAAAAAATGAAGTCGAAAAATAGAAACCTCAAAAAATCAAAAAATTAAAGAACTGAAGGACAGGAAAATCGAAACACTCGAAGGTCAAGAAATGGGAAAATCAAAACATCGAATAATTGAAAAATCGAAAAATTGAGAGTTTATGAAAGTCAAATTTGAAAAATTAAAAAACCGAAAATTTGACAAAATGACAATTGAAAAACAGAAAATCTAAAACCGGGAAGTCGAAAAATCAGAAGATTAAGAAATCGAAACATTTGAAAACTTGAAAAATTCAAAAATCGAAGAACTGAACTGAAAAATCGAGAAATCGAAAAATCAAAAATTTTCAAAATTAAAAAATCCAAAATATAAAAACAGAAAAATTGAAAAATCGAAAAAGTAAAATAATCAACACATTGAAAAATCCAGGAGTGAAAAATCGAAAAGTCGAAGAATTGAAATATTGAAAAATCCAAAAACTGAAATATTCAAAAACTGAGAACCTAAAAAGACGAAAAAATTTAGAAACGTCAAAATTTGAAAATTTTAAAAATATTGAAGAATTCTAAAAATCTAAAAATCCAAAAATCCAGAAATCCAAAAGTCTAAAAACCCAAAAATCTAAAAAAAAATTTTGAAAAATTCAAAAAAATCTGGAAATTTTGAAAAATCAAAAAATCTGGTAATTTTGAAAATTCAAAAAAATCTGGAAATTTCGAAAATTCCTGAAACTGGATATTTTGATAATACCAAAAAATCTGGGAATTTTGAAAAAACAAAAAAATTTGGAAATTTGGAAAAATCCAAAATATCTAGAAATTTTGAAAAACTAATAAAATCCGGAAATTTTAAAAATTCCAAAAAATCTGGAAATGAAAATATCAAAGAATCTGGAAATTTCGAAAAACCAAAAAAATCTGGAAATTTTGAAAAACCAAAAAATCTGGAAATTTTGAAAATTCCAAAAAATCTGGAAATTTCGAAAAATTCAAAAAATTGAAAATTTTTGAAAATTCCAAAAAATCTGGAAATTTTAAAAAATCCAAAAAATCTGGAAATTTTCAATTTTTTTTAAAAGTGGAGATTTTGAAAAATTAAAAAAAAATCTGGAAATTTTGAAAAATCCAAAAAATCTGGAAATCTTGAAAATACCAAAGAATCTGGAAATTTTGAAAATACCAAAAAATCTGGAAATTTTGAAAATACTAAAAATTGAGAAACCGAAATGGGCCAAAATCGAAAAGTTAAAAATTGAGCAATTTATAAATTGAGAAATTGACAATCTAAATATCGAAAAATCCAAATCTTGGTAAATCGAGAAATCAAAAAACTTAAAAATTCGAAAAATTGAAAAACTGAGAGATTGAAAGATCCAAAGAACGAGAAATCGAAAAGTGATGAAGTCGAATAAAATGTAAAAATCCAAAAATTGAAAAATCGAAAAAGTGAAGTCGAAAAATAGAAACCTTAAAAAATCGAAAAATTGAAAAATCAAAAACCTGAAAAACCAAAAAATTAAAGAACTGAAGAACAGGAAAACCGAAACACTTGAAGGTCAAGAAAAACTGAAAATTTGACAAAATGACAATTGAAAAACAGAAAATCTAAAACCGGGAAGTCGAAAAATCAAAAGATTAAGAAATTGAAGAATTGAACTGAAAAATGGAAAAATCGAAAAACTGAAAAATCGAAAAAGTAAAATAATCAACACATCGAAAAATCCAGGAGTCAAAATTGAAAAGTCGAAGAATCGAAATATTGAAAAATCCCAAAACTGAGATATCGAAAAACTGCAAAAAGGAAAATCTGAAAAATCCAAAAACTGAAATATCCAAAGACTGAGAACCTAAAAAGTCGAAAAACTGAGCTATCGAAAAATCCAAGATGTGAAGTCGAAAAATCGAAACTAAAAAATGAAAAATCAAAAAATTAAAGAATTGAAGAACAGGAATATCGAAACCCTCGAAAGTCAAGAAATGGGAAAGTCAAAACATGGATTAATTGAAAAATCTAAAAATTGACAGTTTATAAATGTCAAATTTAAAAATTTGAAAAATCGAAAATTTGACAAAATGACAATTGAAAAACAGAAAATCTAAAACCGGGAAGTCGAAAAATCAAAAGATTAAGAAATCGAAACTTTTGAAAAATTCGAAAAGGTAAAAAATTCAAATATCGAAGAACTGAACTGAAAAATCGAGAAATCGAAAATTTTTAAAATTAATAAATCTAAAATTTAAGATACGAAAAACTGAAAAATCGAAAAAGTAAAAAATCGACATCGAAAAATCCAGGAAAAAAAAATGGAAAAGTCGAAGAATCGAAATATTAAAAAATCCCAAAACTGAGATACCGAAAAACTGAAAAATCGAAAAATCAAAAAAGTGAAGTCGAAAAATAGAAACATTAAAAAATCGAAAATTTGAAAAATCAAAAACCCGAAAAATAAAAAAATTAAAGAATTGAAGCACAGGAATATCGAAAGTCAAGAAATGGGAAAGTCAAAACATCCATTAATTGAAAAATTGGAAAATCGAAAATTTGAGAAAACGACAACTGAAAAACAGAAAATCTAAAACGGGAAGTCGAAAAATCGAGAGATTCAAAAATCGAAACATTTGAAAAATTGAAATATGGAAGAGCTGAAATGAAAAATCGGGAAATCGATAAAACTAAAATTTTAAATATTGAAAAATTAAAATACCAAAAAATTGAGAAATCTAAAATTTAAAAATCGAAAAAGTAAAAAGTCGACACATCGAAAAATCGAGAAGTCAAAAATGGAAAAGTCGAAGAACAGAAATATGTATTGAAAAATCCCAAAACTGAAGTATCGAAAAACTGAAAAGTGAAAGAAAAACTGACGAGTCGAAAAACTGAAATATCCCAAAAGTGAGAATCTAAAGAATCGGAAAATTGAGAAATCGAAAAATCAAAAACCTGCAAAATCGTAAGATCGAAAAATTGAATAATAAGTAAACTGAAAAATCCCAAAACTGAGAAATTAACAAATTGAGAAATCGAAAAATCAAAAAAATGAAGTCGAAAAATCGAAACCTGAAAAAATAGAAAAATTGAAAAACCAAAAAACCTGAAAAATCAATTAATTGAAAAATCGAAATATTTAAAAATCGTAAAATTGAAGAAAAAAAACTGAAAACCGAAAAATTGAAAAAGTGAGAAATTGTAAAATCCGAAAATTGAATAATAAATAGGAGTAAACTGAAAAGAAAACTAAAATTTCGAAAAACTGAGAATTCGATAGTTGAAACAATTATGGCTTATAAATCAAATCGTTTCCGAACGCTTAGAGTCGACATTGGCCTGAGCGCGCTCTGGTCTGTAGATCAAACAAGTTCTCAGACGACGAACTGTAATTCGTGTGACCTGAAAGTAAAACGCGTCGTTAAAAATATTATAACATTTTTCCTATTGTAGTTAATTTTATTCCTAGTTAGAAACAAACACTGTTGCCAACATAAATTGATCAAAATTTGGAAAAATTACGAGGAATTTTGAACATCTTGATTATTATTTATTGTTGTTGTCAGGTTGTGCACGCACGACACGCCGTCCCGCGTGCCCCTCATCTGGCGCTCCGCCGACAGCGACGGCACGCCGCCCCCAGCATCATCGTCATCACCGTCAGTGCCTGCCAGTCTCGTTCTACTTATATTTTTCTCGTACGTGTGCCTGGGAGCGGCCGCGTTCGCCACCGCCACCGGCTGGAGCTTCCTCGACGCCACGTACTTCTGCTTCATCGCCCTCTCCACCATCGGCATCGGAGACAAGCTGCCCCAAGGCGGGGACACCCACGCCCAGCTGCAGCTGCTGGCGTGCTGTTTATACCTGTTCCTCGGACTCGTCGTCGTCGCGATGTGCTTCAGTCTAGTGCACGAGGAGATCTCGACCAAGTGCAAACATATCGCCAGTAACATGGGACTGTTGAGACACTAGTGACTGTTGTTTATATTTGGAAGTGCGATTTTCGAAAGCGGAATCAAATAATAAAATATTATGCGAAACGGGGAGTTTTATTGTTTACCTCTGGCGCGAGGGGACTCGCTAGACGATATATAACATTTTTTTGGTTTTTTGTATGAAACAATGATATTAATATAGATGTATCATACATCAAACTGCAGCTTTTTTCATATTCTAGAGCGCAGTGACCAGTTCAATCAACTAAAAAAATATGGATGAGAAATATCGTAAAAAAAGCACCATTGTATGTTTTCTTTTCAAGCTTTTTGAGTCATAACCATCATAGAATCGCTTGAAAATTCGCACATGGATAAAACATCACTTTTTTCAGGGCGCAGAGTCATTAAATGTTTGTTAGTGGTACAATTTGTTTAAATAATAATGTGTTTATTAAAATCAAAATATACCACAAATTAATGCAAAATACGTCGAATAATTTTAACAGGAATATCAGAGGAAAATTAATGATCTATTAGTTAGCAGAGTTTTTAACAAAAACTAACAATTATTGAAAAAAATGGGTATCAATTCGACAGAATTTGAGCAGTTAGTTCAGTACTTTGCCGATAGGAGCGCCACTAAAATTTACGGAAGCGGCTTTCCAGGTAAAACCCTTATCGCCTGGTCTACCATAAGCTGATTGTTAGAGTTCTCGGCTGATTTTTCTAATTTATGGCAAGGAACTCAGTTTTATAACAAGCCGCCAGGACCGGTCGTAGTAATCTATTGTTAAGGAAATTAACTTTTACGCAATGAGGTACTATCATAAAACCGAATTAAAACTGGGGAACTATAATATTTTTACTCCACTCAGGATCCTGAATTCAATACACATGATTATTAAAAATTCATTGTAATATTGTTGTTAATATATATTTTGCTTTCTTAATTAATAAAACTAATAAACATATTTATAATAATAATAAAAAAATATATAAAATACAGCTTTTGTTTAACACGTATAGGTAAGTAGCTAAGTGTATCTACTACTTATCCCAAAAAGGAGGTGTTTTAAAAAAGCCCTACGCCCAGTAACTTCTCCCTTCATTGTTTACTCGAAAAAAGTGCTCGTATATGTTTTCATTTGCCGAGAGATCATTTTCAAAATATATTTATAGTAAAAATATGCAAGTCTTGGTGATGAAAAATGTACTCCTAATAAATTATTAAAGTACATAAAAAAATAGAAACAAATTTTATTTATTTTAAAAAAATCTCTCGCAAAGGCAGGTTCCCCTTTCTTCTTGAATCAATTATTTCGGGCAATAAAGCGCCAAAACAAAATCTGCGAAGTTTATCTGCCATCTTTTTACATATATTTCTTCGTCTTTATAAATTTTTTCTATATTTATTCCTTTGGGTGTCCATACAACAAAATAAACTTGTGAAATACCCGTAACAAGCATTTGTCCCTGGACTTGAAAGTAGTAGTCATGATTCTTTTTTTAGTTTCAATTCTCTGTCTGTCAATGTACAAAATTTGATTATTTTTTTTTCTAACCGCTTCTTCTGGAGACAAATCTTGCGATTTTGAAGGGCATTTAATTTCGACTAATGCACTTCTATCCTCTAGAACCATGTCTGGACTAGCAGCCAAGTAAGGAAATTGTTTTGAAATAAAAAGGCCACACCGTTCAGTTTTTATATTTTTATTTATTTCAAAATATTTGACAGCTTTTTCCTCATTTTGCTGTCCATAGTATGTATGACTATTACCTCTAAATGTACTGTACAACAGAGACTCCACAGTTTTAGCTATAGCTGTAGTCGGTCTAAGTTTGTAAATACGTCCAAAATTTGAAGCCGTAACCCTAATTTCTCTTTCTTTTGCCCAAATGTGCCTGTTGCCTAGTGTCTATTTCAATTTGGTCTAAATTCAAAGATAATTTTCTCAAAAAACCTCTTTAGCTGTCACAAATGTTTCTACATCCATGACAGGATTTTCTAAAAAATATTTAAACCATAATCGCAGTCGGAACCAGCATACATAAATTTTTTACGACATATTTTTTTACGAATACTTTGTCTAAGACGAGCTTGTTTTATAGACGAACAATATTTTTTTGTTATTAAACCAAGATCGTTTTAATCACAATATATTTACTTATCCCCTCTAAAAAATTGATGACGTCAGCTCAAAAGTTTGCCGTATTGGATTTCTTTGGATCCTTATTCTTGATTCTTGACATTTTTGTAATTTTAGTGTTTTTGGAATTTTTGAAATTTATTTATTTTCGGATTTCTTTGAATTCTCGAAATTCTTGGAATTTTTGGGATCGTTGGAATTCTCGACATTCTCGAATTTCTGGAATTTTTGTAAATCTAGAAAATCTCAGATTTCTTGAATCTCTCATGTTTTCTGCATCTTTTTATCTTTCTATTTCTCCAATTTTTTGGATTTCTTTGGCTTGTGACGTTTCTTGAGTTTCTAGTAGGATTGTTTACGTTTCTTGGATTTTTTAATTTCTTAGTTCTATTGGATTTCAGGATTTTTAAAAATTCTAATAAATCGAAGAAACACCTGAATAGTCTTGGAGAGAAATTTTAAAAATTTCAATATAGTGGAAAAAACCTAAGTTTTGAACCAATGATCCAAGAGTTCCACATTTGTAAAAATTCTCAGTTTGTTACAATGACAGTGACATTTTTACAAGCTGTTCCAAAAATGACACAAAAAAAAAATCCCTGACCAAAATAATTTGCTGAAATACGATCCGCAACGTCACTTTTCAGTGTTGACAGATATTATTTTACGCTGTCAATTAAATATAGTTGACAGTAATGTATACAGCACAATTTGGCAGCGTCGGTAGTGGTACAGTAGAAAAAATAGTATAAATAACTCGTTCATAAGGCCATTGAGGCACTCATCCTTTATATAACTCGCGGCTTCGCCGCTCGTTCTATAAACTTGGATTCGTGCCTCAATATTTGCCTTATGAAACTCGTTCTTTAATATACTATTAATTATCATAGCGAAATAAAGATTTTGCAGTTAAGCTCCGTCCCCCTTGATTCACAATGAATAAAAAAATAATCACAATCGAGACAGGGTGGGTGGGCGGGGTTTATATTTTGTCTTGTTTTTCTTAATATACATAGCCATTTTTCACTACAAAAAACTTGAAACATGGTTAAAATGGTACATTTTTTCAAGGAAATATGGATTTAATTACCGGGCGGAATCAAATTGCCAAATCGATATTTCCTTATACATTTTAAACATGTCTTAAGTTTCATGTTCTGAGAAGAAGTCTACACATATTAGAACAAAAAGACAAAATGTAAAAGTATATCTAGGGTCTCTAGTTACAACTATTTAAAATTTATAAAATTTGATGAGTCTCTTCTTGTAATTTATCATTCCATTCATATTTTTTGGATTCGGGTATACAGGGTGACTCAAAAAATTTAATGAATACGCAAATTTATTTTATTGATTTAATCAGGAACTACAAAACCGAATGCTTTGAAATCTAATGTGAAAAAAAACATAATAGGCATGCAGTCGTCACGTTTCCGGTAGCGAGAGAAGTACTGTCTAAATTCTTTAGACCAATTTTTGTGATTTTCCAATTTTTCCATTTCTCAATTTTTCAATTTTCAGTTTGGGTTTTTTTCACTGTTTCGATTCTTTAATTTTGCTTCCATTTTTAGATTTTTCAATATTTCAGCTTTGGAATTTTGCAATATTTCGTTTCTTCAATTTTTCAAATTTTTGACATTGTGTTTTCTCGGTTTTTAAAATTTTCGATATTCTAATTTTTCAGTTTTTAAAGTTTTAGGTTTTTAGATTTCTCACTATCTCGACTTTTCGATTTTTCAGTTCCATGATTTTTCAATTTGTCGAAATTCTAAATTTTAGATTTTTTGGTCTCGATCATTCAATTTGCTGAGTTTTCAGGCTTAGATTTTTTTTGTTGCTCAATTCTTGGATTTTTAAAATTTTTGTTTTTGAAATTTTCCTATTTATCAACTTACTGGGATTTCAATGTTTTGATTTTTTGGTTGTTCAATTTCTCGATTTTTTGAATTTTAGTTTTTGATACGATTTTTTTTTCAAAAATTTTCAGTTTTTTAATTTATTAACTTTACGATGTTTCACTTTTACGATTTTTAAATTTTTTTATTTTTCAGTTTTCAATTTTTGACGTTTCTAAATTTTTCGATTAACTGATTTTTACTTCCCGAGCGTAAGCAAAGGAAGTATTGTAATCGAGTCCGTCGGCCGACTCTCTACTTTTACATTTTCTCGATCTTTCATGACCCCTAGAAGACGAAGAAATAGGTCTCCCATTTCCGTCTGTCTGTCCGTCTGTCCGTCTGTCCGTCTGTCCGTCCGTCTGTCCGTCTGTCCGTCCGTCTGTCCGTCCGTCTGTCCGTCTGTTGTCCCGGATTTTTATTAGACAGATAATCTCCGAAAGTACTCGACCGATTGTTGTGAAATTTTGTACTTATATTAAGAATATCATGTAGATGGTAAAACGCTAACCAAAATTTGTCTAATCATCCCCACCACTAATGCGATGACGTCACTTCAAAATTGTACATAGTAAATGGGTTTTCAATTGTATAAAATAACATAGTCCTACACATGTAGTTTACAACTCCGAATCGACTTTTCACCCGAAACGTCCAGATTTTTGGAAAAAAAATCAAAATTATAAAACAACATTTTGAAATTTAATTTTTAATCTGCTAACCAGAATGCTTTGAAATGTTGCAGATGTTTTAAGGCTATAAAGAGCATCATAAATCTTTAGTCAAAAAATATTTGCTTACCCCCTCCAAAAACTTGATGACGTCAGCTCAAAAGTTTGTGGAATAAATCATATCTAAAATGTACAAAATATGATGAGTCTGTACTTGTGATCTATCACTCCATTCATATTTTTTGGATTTGCATATACAGGGTGACTCAAAAAAATTAATGAATGCGTAAATTTATTTTACTGATTTACTCAGAAACTACAAAACCGAATGCTTTGAAATCTTGCAGATGTTTTAAGGTTCTAAAGAGCATAATAAATGTTTAGTCAAAATATATTTGCTTATCCCCTCCAAAAAATTGATGACGTCAGCTCGAAAGTTTGCCGAATAAATCCTATCTAAACTGTAAAAATATGATGAGTCTGTACTTGTAATTTATCACTCCATTCATATTTTTTGGATTTGCATATACAGGGTGACTCAAAAAAATTAATGAATGCGTAAATATATTTTATTGATTTAATCAGGAACTACAAAACCGAATGCTCTGAAATCTTGCAGATGTTTTAAGGTCATAAAGAGCATAATAAATGTCTAGTCAAAATATATTTGCTTATCCCCTCCAAAAACTTGACGACGTCAGCTCGAAAGTTTGCCGAATAAATCATATCTAAAATGTACAAAATATGATGAGTCTGTACTTGTCATTTATCACTCCATTTATATTTTTTGGATTTGCATATACAGAGTGACTCAAAAAAATTAATGAATGCGTAAATATATTTTATTGATTTAATCAGGAACTACAAAACCGAATTCTTTGAAATCCACTGCGAAAAAAAAACATAATAGGCATGCAGTCGTCACGTTTCCGACAGCGAGGGAAGTACTGTCTAAACTCTTTAGACCAATTTTTTGATTTTCCCATTTCTCTATTTCTTGATTTTTCAATTCTTTCTTCAGTTGTGATTTTTCAATTTTTCGATTTCTGGATTTTTCAATGTTTCAAGATTTCAGTTTTGAATTTTTTCACTTTTTCGATTTTTCAATTTTCCTTCCATTTTTCAGTTTTTCAGTATTTCAGTTCTGCGATTTTGCAATATTTCGGTTTTTCAATTTTTCCATTTTTTGATGTTTCGATTTCTCGGTTTTTCAATTTTTCGATAGGTATTTTAATTTTTCAATTTTTAAGTTCTAGATTTTCCGTTAATTTTTTTGTTTTCCTTGATGTTTTGATTTCTCGATTATTCGATTTTTCAAGTTTGTTCAACAGTCTTCTAGTTTCTGAACAGAAAAACCTTGAAGAACCTTCTGAAACGTCATTTTTTTCCTACATTTTCATATTGTAAAATCTCTCAATTACAGCTCTATGTCTTTCAGAAAAATTCCGTCATGGTTTCCATATTCTTTAGATTCTGATGCCCAGGTGTTGTTATCTTTTCCTATCTTCAGTTGGATTTCGTCTCTAATTTCACTTCTGATTCTCTAATCTTCTAGAATTCCTTTCGAATTTACCCTTCACGATGATCCAAAATAATCTCCTTTTCAGCTAAAATCTTCTAGAACTTTCGTCTAGTTCTATTTCTGTTCGTTCTAAAACAGAATTGTTCTAGACTGTGTGATTCAATTCCATAGTTTTTCTAAAATTTCAAGGAAGATTCACATTTTCGACCCTTTTTTCATGCCTTTCTGCCCTATGGTATCTCAATTCACCAACAGAATATTCTAGAAACTCGTTGGAACTGTGTCAATTTATTTATTTTTTTAACTTTAATCCTGTACAATTATATTTCTACTCTTCTCATTATTTCATATACAAAAACTGTGAAGAACCTACCAAGAACGTGGTCAAGAACCTCTTTTTTCAGTTTAAATGCAGAAATAAACTTAGATTAAAATGTTCTAGAACTTTCCTGAGACTTCGCCAGTAATCTTCTTTCTTCAATTCTGTTCAACAGTTTTCTAGTTTCTGAACAGAAAAACCTTGAAGAATTTTCGGAAACCTTATCTTTTTCTTAGTTTTTCCTATTGTAAAATCTTGGGTCTCAATTACTGCTTTATTTCTTTCAGAAAAATTCCATCATTATTCCCTTATTCTTTAGATTCTAAAGCCCAGGTGTTGTTATCTTTTCCTATTTTAATAATCTCCTTTGTCAGTTAAAATCTTCTACAATTTTTGTCTAATTCTATCTCTGTTCGTTTTAAAACAGAATTCTTCAAAATATGGGCTTCAATTCTAAAACTGTTTTAAAATTCACATTTTCCACCGTTTTTTCATGCCACACTGCTGTATAGTAGCTCAATTCACCAACAAAATATTCTAAAACATCCTTGGAACTGTGTCAATCTTCTTTTTTAACTTTAATTCAGTACTAGAACATTTTTCTACCGTTTTCACTGCTGATATGAAAACATTGAAGTTCAAATTTTATTATCTCTTCCTATTTTCAACTGGAATTCTTCTCAAACGTCACTTCTTGTTTTCAACTGCATTCATACTTCCTTCTAGAATTCTTCACGCAATTCATTCCTCTATAACTGGATATTTCTGTTAGTCTTCGTTTTCAATCTAAATTTTTCTAAATCATCATCTTCATGTTCTCAAATGGTTTAAAATTTCCGGGAATTTTTCCATTGTCCACTCTTTCTTGGTAGTCGTTGTGTTTTATACTGTCTTATTTCACCAGTGGATTATTCTAGAAGCCTCGCAGACAATCTTTTGTCTTTTCTTTCTTCAATCATGTACAACAGTCAAAATTTTTCTTGTTTCCAAATACAGAAGCCTTGATTTTTTACACTCTCCTGTTCTGGAATCTCTTGAAATCATATTAACCACAACTTCTCTCTTCAACCCCAAATTCCCCTAATTTATTAACTTTACGATATTTCACTTTTACGATTTTTTAATTTTTTTATTTTTCAGTTTTCAATTTTTGACGTTTCTAAATTTTTCGATTAACTGATTTTTTGATTTTCCCATTTCTCTATTTCTTGATTTTTCAATTCTTTCTTCAATTGTGATTTTTCAATTTTTCGATTTCTGGATTTTTCAATGTTTCAGTTTTGGATTTTTTCACTTTTCCGATTCTTCAATTTTCTTTCCATTTTTCAGTTTTTCAAGATTTCAGTTTTGAATTTTTTCACTTTTTCGATTTTTCAATTTTCCTTCCATTTTTCAGTTTTTCAGTATTTCAGTTCTGAGATTTTGCAATGTTTCGGTTCTTCAATTTTTCCATTTTTTGATGTTTCGATTTCTCGGTTTTTCAATTTTTCGATAGGTATTTTAATTTTTCAATTTTTAAGTTCTACACAGAGACTTTAATATGTATAGACCGGCTATGTGGCCTAAAACTTGAAGCCGGCAGTCGCCATATTGCTTAGTCCCAAAATCGCGCCAAATTTAAAATCTGGACAATTTCAAAATTAATTTATTATATTTTTGCCGAACATTTTCTCCTCTAATCAGTTCTGTTTTTAATGCACATAATTAATTTATTAAAATGTGACTCACTCATGTTTTTATCTAAGTATTTCCGTCGCGTCAAAAAAATGGTTAAATTTATGAAAGAAATGTAAGCCTATACTTCTCAATGTCAATGTGAATAATTTTGTTAAGATTTTTTTTGCATTGACCAAGTCGAAGTTTTGTTTAATTACTTTTTCTGCATGTCTACAAATAGTTTTTAAAAACTCAGACGGTACAGTTAAAGCATTATTTACATCTTTAATTAATATTACCCCCGCTTTATGTGACATATCATTGTCAATAAGCAAATCTATACACTCTGTACAATCTAAATTGACTTGAATTTGTTTCGCACAAAAACCTGCTATATAATCTACAACATGTGTAGAGTGCTCATTAAGTGATGAATTTTCAGAGGTAAGTCCAACGTTTTCCGTTTGAATTAAAACTTCTCTTACTGAAACGTCGTCCAACTCATTTGGCTCTATTTCACAATTCCCTAGGACATTTGGGCTGAGTGGAGATAGTTCCAGTTATAGGTTAAGTTGTTCAGAATTGACAGAAAGGGACCAGCAATGGCGGCGTTTCCTGTGTACACAACTGCTTCAAGAAAATACACTAGAATTTAGGGTGATAGCCGGTCTATACATATTAAAGTCTCTGGTTCTACATTTTCTGTTAATTTTTTTGTTTTCCGTGATGTTTTGATTTCTCGATTATTCGATTTTGCAAGTTCTCGGTTTAGATTTTTTGGTTTTCCAATTCTTCGATTTTTAAATTGTTTAATTTCTCGATTTATAGATGTTTTAATTTTTCGGTTTACCGATTTTTTTCATTTAAAATGTTTCAATTTTTCAATTTTGGTGTAATTTGAAAACGGTATTAATAATACATTTAGGCGAATAAACTAATAGACGGGCTTGATAAGCCTTGTTTCCTCTACAGTGTTTAAATTGTGTTTGAATAATATAATAATTATCTCGAATATTAAAATGAATATGTCAAAAGAAAACGAGAAATGGGGAAAAAATAACACTCGTTTTGTATTTGTATAATAGTTTATTTACCCTAATCCCTTAATAATGTACATTGACTGCAGATCAGAATGTATAAGTATGGGATCAAGATCGGAGCGACAAATAACCGTTCCAGCAATTATTGCCCCGCCCTGGACATATCATTGTAAATTGACTAGAGTGACAGAAACATTTTGGGAATGCATTTCAACATATGTACACCGTCGTGGAGACTCGACACTTCCATATTTACATACACTATTTACAACAATGTTGGCAAAAATAATTTAACGACAGTCGAAAGTGCAGTTACCACTCAGTCGGAAGAAAAAAAAAAAAAATCGCAACTACCAACTGCACGCCAAAATACAAAAAGGATGGGCTCGTCGCCTAACCTCAAACGTCAGGAAATAAAAACAGGCACTATTCTACCACTGTTCATTTGACAAAAAAAGACTCCTTTTCGATCGATTTGGTTAACTCCGCTTAAATAATACTCTGAAACACGACAACTCAAAAATAAAATATTGCGGTTACACTATACTTTAAGATCACAGTAAAATGCAATACTGGGAAAAAACCGGTCAGAATCGCCCACGTACCTCGCGGTGGGCGATTATGACCTCCGAGAGCTCCTCGTTCATAACAACTCTTCGCTTCGTCACGACTTCAATAATTTAAAAAATAGATCATAAGCACATTCTTCCATCGCACATACATTTGTACACGGTTTTGCTTAGCCAAAACCTTCAAGGCAAAATTGCACACATAGAGGGGTTTTTTTCGCTCATTAAAACACCGATTCGGCCGACCGAGACAGGTGAATCGGGTGAGAGGGACTGCGCGCTAGCCGCTTCTTCGGCAACTTGTCGAAGAAGTTCGCCAGTCGAACGAAATCCGGCCGGTCCTCCTCGCGAAACGACCAACACAGCATCAATATATCCTAAAACGACGACGAAAATTGCGTCACAATTCATCCAGGTAAACCCACCATGGACTCACCTTAACGTCTCGAGAAGCTTGGAGATTTGCTAAAGGCTGCTTCATACCCTTACCCACCTGCCAGATTATTGCCTCGGGTGGTTGCGTTTTAAAAGGCCACTCGCTGCACAACAACTCGTACCACACGGTCCTAAAACCCACTTTAAACTCTACATAGTTACAAAATTTTCTCTAGTACCCGAAAGCGTAAACATCCGACGACTTGCTGAAAGGCAGCTCTTCAGCGTGCAATTGATGAGCGTGCAGTTTTCGGATAATTTCAGGTGATAAGTAGCACAGCCAACCGGGAGGTATCCACAAACTGTCGTTTTTGCTGAAACATACACAATCAACAAACAACTAAGGCGACTTTCGCTTGAAATACCGATTCCCGAAACACAGTTTGGTCACGCTGAACAACCCAAAGTCCGTAATGACGACCTTCCCGTTATCTAAAAAAATGTTTTTGCTTTTCAAATCTTTGTGGATGATGCCGCGCGCGTGCAAGTAGCCCATTCCCTGGAAAAAAGTTGGCGTTTACCGAACAGATGGAGCGATGGTGTGGGCGTACCTGCGAGATCTGCTGCGCCACCACGGTCGTTTTGTTCATGTTGAACTTGTCCTTCCTCAGGTGGAGGTGCGTGTATAGGGTCATCCCCTTGCTCAGGCTCGTCACGATGGCCAGCTTCGGGGGCTGCATGCACGCCCCCATGAACAAAATGACGTTTTCGTGGCGCGTCTTCCTGAACATCGAGACCTCGCTTTTGAATTGCTCGAGCGCCTTCTCGTCGTTGAGGTGGCTCATGTTGAGCACCTTGACGGCGACGTCGCCGTGCCAGTAGCCGCGGTACACGGTGCCGAAGCGGCCCGTGCCGATGACGTCGCCCATTCGCAGCTCCTCGTACGGGATGTCCCATTCCCTCATCGACATCTGCAACCATGTTGTTTTGTTATCTGGTTGTCTCAACCTAACCTCAAAAATTCGTTGTCTCATATTTTTGGCGTGGTTTTGACTGATTAAAGGCGCTATTTTGACTACTACTTGCTTATAAAAGATTCTGTACGAAAAGTTAAACTTAGCCCCGCCCACCCACCCGTCCTCTCATTTTTGTCTTCAGAAATAAGAAATAAATGTTTTAGCAAATAAGTAGTACAACAAAAAAATTACGATTAAGGCTTTCTTTAACAGCTTCCGTTCTATTAGAAAAGAACGTATAATTCATTGATTTTGGATGTTGTAATTCACATTTGGTTAATTGTAACTTGTCTAGATCTAATGGAGGCTCAGCATCCCCTAGCCTCCCCCTAGCTAGGGGTTATGAAATATCGAGAAAATATTAAAGTACCAAATTGCCCGATGGACTCCATTACTGTACGTCCTTGGGTTATCCTCGATAAGAAAAACAACTTGGAAGTGTTAATGTTTATACATCGGAAGAATGTCACGTAGAAATTAGTTTGATTTGAATGAGTTCGTCCCCTCAAAATAGAGGATTAAAAATATGAAGTAGTAAACTAAAATCGACAAAATGTTCTGAATATCATTATTACAACTCTTATTAAATAAAGACGTTTGTATTTTCGTCAATTTTTGGAATTAAAAGTTTTTTCATTTTTCAAATTTTCCATTTTCGGGATTTTAAAGTTTTTGATTTCTCGATTTTTCCAATTCTGGATTTCCGAATTTTTCTATTTTTCAGTTCTTCAATTTTTCGATTTTCCAGGTTTTTGATTTTTTAAATTTCAGAGTTCTGGATTTCTCGATTTTTCATTTTGATTTTTGAAATTTTGGATTTTTAGATTAAAAAATTTTCAAATTTTCGATTTTTTGATGTTTCGTTTCGTCCCTTTTCGATTTTTAAGTTTGTCAATTTTTCGAATTTCAAAATTTTCGATTTTTCAAATTTTCAGTTTCTCAATTTTATTTATTCTTCGATGTCTCGATTTCCCGATATTTCAGTGTTACGATTTTTCAATTTTTTGATTCGTCGATTTTTGGGTTTAAAAGTTTTTTCATTTTTCAAATTTTCCGTTTTCGGGCTTCCTAAGTTTTTGATTTCTCGATTTTTCCAATTCTGGATTTCTCGATTAATCGACTTTACGCCTTTTCGATTTCGATTTCCCGATTTTTGGGTTTCGATTTCCCGATTTTTCGATTTTTTGATTTTCTCATTTCTAAATTTCTCGACTTTTTGGTGTTTCCATTTCTCGATTTTCCAGGTTTTTGATTTTTTAAATTTCAGAGTTCCAGAGTTCTGGATTTCTCAATTTTTCATTTTGATTTTTGAAATTTTGGATTTTAAGATTAAAAAAATTTTCCAATTTTCGATTTTTTGATGTTTCGGTTCTTCGACTTCTCCCTTTTCGATTTTTAAGTTTGTCAATTTTCCGATTTTCAACATTTTCGATTTTTCAAATTTTCATTCTCAATTTTATTTATTCTTCGGTTTCTCGATTTCTCGATATTTCAGTATTACGATTTTTCAATTTTTTGAATCGTCGATTTTTGGACTTCACAGTTTTTTCATTTTTCAAATTTTCTAATCTGGATTTCTCGATTAATCGACTTTATGCCTTTTATCTCCCGATTTTTGGATTTTATCATTTCTAAGTTTTTCGACTTTACAATGTTTCCATTTCTCGATTTTTCAGTTAATCAATTTTTCGATTTTTCAGGTTTTTAATTTTCCAATATTTTGATTTTTACTTTTTTGTGTCTCATTTCTCAGTTTCTCGATTTTTCGATTTTTTAATTTCTCAGTTTTTCAATTTTTCGATTTCTAAAATTTTCTATTTCTCCATTTTTTGACATTTCAATGTCTTTATTTTTTGATTTTCCATTTCTCGATTTCCCGACTTTTTGATGTTTTGATTTCCGAATTTTTCTATTTTTCAGTTCTTCAATTTTTCTATTTTTCCAAGTTTTTGATTTTTCAGTTTTTTTCATTTTTTAAATTTCAGAGTTCCGGATTTCTCGACTTTTCATTTTAATTTTTGAAATTTTTGATTTTAAGATTAAAAAATATTAAAATTTTCGATTTTTTGATGTTTCGGTTCTTCGACTTCTCCGTTTTAGATTTTTAAGTTTGTCAACTTTTCGATTTTCAAAATTTTCGATTTTTAAAATTTTCGATTTTCCAAATTTTCAATTTTTGCATGTTTTGACATTTGAATTTCTTTATTTTTTGATTTTCCCACTTCTCGATTTCCCAACTTTTCGATGTTTTGATTTCCGAATTTTTCTATTTTTCAGTTCTTCAATTTTTCCATTTTCCAAGTTTTTGATTTTTCAATTTTTTTGATTTTTTAAATTTCAGAGTTCCGGATTTCTCGACTTTTCATTTTGATTTTTTGATGTTTCGGTTCTCGACTTCTCCGTTTTAGAGTTTTAAGTTCGTCAATTTTTCGATTTTCAAAATTTTCGATTTTTCAAATTTTCAATTTTTGCATGTTTTGACATTTCAATTTCTTTATTTTTTGATTTTCCATTTCTCGATTTCCAGACTTTTTGATGTTTTGATTTCCGAATTTTTCTATTTTTTAGTTCTTCAATTTTTCTATTTTTCCACTTTCCAAGTTTTTGATTTTTCAGTTTTTTTTGATTTTTTAAATTTCAGAGTTCCGGATTTCTCGACTATTCATTTTGATTTTTGAAATTTTTGATTTTAACATAAAAAAATTTTCAAATTTTCGATTTTTTGATGTTTCGGTTCTTCGACTTCTCCGTGTTAGATTTTTAAGTTTGTCAATTTTTCTATTTTCAAAATTTTCGATTTTACAAATTTTCAATTTTTCCATGTTTTGACACTTCAATTTCTTTATTTTTTGATTTTCCCATTTCTCGATTTCCCGACTTTTAGATGTTTTGATTTCCGAATTTTTCTATTTTTCAGTTCTTCAATTTTTCTATTTTTCCATTTTCCAAGTTTTTGATTTTCCAATTTTTTTGATTTTTTAAATTTTACTTTAAGATTAAAAAATTTTCAATTTTTCGATTTTTCAAATTTTCAATTTTTGCATGTTTGACATTTCAATTTCTTTATTTTTTGATTTTCCCTTTTCTCGATTTCCCTACTTCGACGTTTAGATTTACGAATTTTTCGATTTTTCAGTTCCTCAATTTTTCTATTTTTAAATTTTCCAAGTTTTTGATTTTTTAAATTTCAGAGTTCCGGATTTCTCGACTTTTCATTTTGATTTTTTAAATTTTAGATTTTAAGATTAAAAAATTTTCAAATATTCGATTTTTTGGGGTTTCGGATCTTCGACTTCTCCGTTTTAGATTTTTAAGTTCGTCAATTTTTCGATTTTCAAAATGTTCGACTTTTCAAATTTTCAGTTCCTCAATTTTATTTATTCTTCGATTTCTCGATTTCCCGATATCTCAGTATCACGAGTTTTCAATTTTTTGGTTCTTCCATTTTTCGATTTAAATTTTTTTTTATTTTTCAAATTTTCAATTTATTAGTTTTTGATTTCTCGATTTGCGACTTTTCGACTTCCATTTCTCGATTTTTCGATTTTCCATTTGTTCAATTCTTCAATTTTTCAACTTTTGATTTTTTACTTTGTTGATTTTTCAATTTTCAATTTCTCGTTTCCTCAGTTTCTCAATTTTTCGATTTTTTTGTTTCGATTTCTCAATTTTTTAATTCTTATTCTTCATTTTTTTGATATTTTTATTGTTCAGGTATTTAAATTTTTAATTTTTCGATTTGTAGATTTCTCAATTTTTTAATTTTTTGTTTTTTGATATTTCGGTTTTAAATTTTCAAATTTCGGACTTTTTGATGTTTCAGTTTGTCGATTTTGGATTTTTCAATTTTGCGATTCGTGGATTTATCGAGATTTCGATGTTTCGATTTTTCAATTTCCCGTCGAAGTCGAAATAACCCAAACAAAAAATTAAAAACTGAAGAATTTTAATTTCAAAAATCGAAAAATTGAAAAATGAAAAAATCGGGAAATTGAACAATCGAAATCTCGATAAAGAAATTGAAAAAATTAAAATTAAAAAATTCGAAAAATTGAAAAATCGAAAAATGAAATATTTTAAAAATCGAAAGATCGACAAATCGAAACATTAACAGAAAAGAAAAATATAGAAGTTAAAAAAGTTAAAGTGAAAAAATTAAATCATCGAAAAATTAAAAAATCTAGAAACTCAAAAATTCCGAAAACTGAAATACTGAAACTTTGAGAAATCGAAACATCAAAAAAACAAAATCGAAAAATGTAAAATTTAAATAATAATCGAAAACTGAAAAATCAAAAAACGGGAAATCGAAAATTCCAAAATTTGTAAAATTGAAACTGAAAATTCGAAAAATTGGCAAATTCAAAAACTTAAAAATCGTAAAGCCGGAAAAACGAAAAACCGAATAACTGAAAAATTGTAACATCGAGAACTCAAAAAATCGAAATAACCCAAACGAAAACTAAAGAATTGAAAAAATCGATAAATCGAGAAATTGGAAAATTCAAAAAAATTGAAATCATCATTTTTTTATGAGCGAATACATTTTGATCAAAAATTTACCATTTTTGAGTCACCTGTATATGCAAATCCAAAAAATATGAATGGAATGATAAATCACAAGTACAGACTCATCATATTTTGTCCAATTTACTTTTGGAGATTATCTGTCTAATAAAAATCGGAACGGCAGACAGACGAACAGACAGACAGACAGACGGAAACGGGAGTCGGCCGACGGACTCAATCACGATACTTCCTTTGCTTACTCTCGGGAAGTCAAAACCATCAGAATTCAGATATGGCGGGTGGGCGGGGCTTATATTTCGCCTTTTTTTCTGGGGCGGAGCCTAATTGCAAAATCGATATTTCCTTACACAAATTTTCCATTTTAAACACGTTGTAAGTTTCATGTTGCGAAAAGACGTCCACACATATTAAAACAAAAAGGAAAAATGTAGGCCCGCCCACCCACCCTGTCTCAAGTGTAATGAATTTTTTTATTCACCGTGAACCAAGAGGGTGAAGTTTAACTGCAAAATACTTATTTAGAAATTAAAAACATGTTTTTGAGTATCGTGTTGTTCAAAGAACACTATGAAAATTAAGGAAAATAGGCAAAATATAAACCCCGCCCACCCACCCCATCTCAATTGTGATCAAATTTCTTGTGGAGAAATACGGATTTTGCAGTTAAATTTCGCTCCTTTGGCTCTCAACAATTAAAAAAAATCATCACAATAGCGATAGGGCGGGTGGGCGGGGCTTATATTTTGTTTTTTTTTTTAATATATGTAGTCGTCTTTTTAGAACAAAAAACTTAAAACATGTTTAAAACTGTAAATTCTTGTAGACAAATATGATTTGCAATTAAGCCCCGCCCCTCGATATGACAACGAATGAAAAATTCGTCACAAGTGAGAATTAACAGCTCGGGGGGTATGGGTGGGGCCTAATATTTGACTTTAGAACACGATACTAAAAAACATGTTTTTAATTTGTCGTACTGAAATAACGGTTTTGCAGTTAAGCTCCGCCCTCTTGGTTCACGATGAATATAAAAATCATCAGAATTGAGATCGGGTGGGTGGGTGGGGCTTATATTTTGCTTGTTTTTCTTAATATACATAGCCATCTTTTCACAACAAGAAACTTAGAACATGGTTAAAATGGCACATTTTTGCAAGGAAATATGTATTTTTCAATTATGGGGCGGAGCCTAATGGCAAAATCGATATTTCCTTACACAAATTTTCCATTTTAAACACGTAAGTTTCATGTTGCGAAAAGAAGTCCACACATATTAAAACAAAAAGGCAAAATATAAACCCGCCCACCCGCCCTGTCTCAAGTGTGATGATTTTTTTTATTCACCGTGAACCAAGAGGGCGGAGTTTAACTGCAAAATACTTATTTCTCTGAGAGAAATTAAAAACATGTTTTTGAGTATCGTGATGTTCAAAGAACACTATAAAAATTAAGAAAAATAGGCAAAATATAAACCCCGCCCACCCACTCCACCTCAATTGTGATGAAATTTTTTGTGGAGAAATAATACGGATTTTGCAGTTAAATTCCGCTCCTTTGTCTCAACAATTAAAAAAATCATCACAATAGTGACAGGGCGGGTGGGCGGGGCTTATATTTTGCTTTTTTTTTAATGTACGTAGTTATCTTTTCAGAACAAGAAACGTAAAACATTTAAAATAGTAAATTAAGCCCCGCCCCTCGATTTGTCAACGAATGAAAAATTCGTCACAAGTGAGAATTAACATCGGGGCGGGTATGGGTGGGGCCTAATATTTGACTTTACTTTTTTCTTAATACACATAGTAGTCTTTGAACAACACGATACTAAAAAACATGTTTTTAATTTCTCGCAGAGAAATAAGGATTTTGCACTTAAACTACGCCCTTTTTTCTCAAGACGAATAAAAAAAAATCATCACAATTGAGATTTTGCTTATATTTTGCTTTTTTTTTTCTTAATATACATACCCATCTTTTCACAACAAGAAACTTAAAACATAGTTAAAATGATACATTTTTGCAAGGAAATATGGATTTTGCAATTGTGGGGCGCGATATTTCCTTATATGTACTAATTTTCCATTTAAAACAAGTTTTAAGTTTCTTGTTGTGATAAGAAATCTACACATATTGAAACAAAAAGAAAAAAACAAAGAATATATGTAGGTTTATTAAGAAAAAAAGGCAAAATATAAACCCCGCCCACCCACCCTATCTCAATTGTGATGAAGTTTCTTGTAGAGGAATAATAAGGATTTTGCAATTAAATTTCTCTCCTTTGGCTCTCGAAAATTAAAAAAAAATTGTCACAATAGAGACAGGGTGGGTGGGCGGGGCTTATATTTTGTTTTTTTTTCTTAATATACCTAATCGTCTTTTCAAAACAAGAAACTTAAAACATGTTTAAAACGGTAAATTCTTGTAGACAAATATGGATTTTGCAATTAAGCCCCGCCCCTCGATCTGACAACGAATGAAAAATTCATCACAAGTGAGAATTAACATTGGGGCGGATACTAAAAATCATGTTTTTAATTTGTCGTAGGTAAATAAGGCTTTTGCAGTTAAGCTCCGCCCTCTTGGCTCACAATGAATATAAAAATCATCAGAATTGAGATCGGGTGGGTGGGCGGGGCTTATATTTTGCCTGTTTTTCTTAATATACATAGCCATTTTTTCACAACAAGAAATTTAAAACATAATTAAAATGGTACATTTTTGCAAGGAAATATGGATTTTGCAATTGTGGGGCGCGGTATTTCCTTATACTAATTTTCCATTTCAAACACGTTTTAAGTTTCTTGTTATGAAAAGAAGTCTACACATATTAAAACAAAAAGGCAAAATGTAGGCCCGCCCACCCCCCCTATCTCAATTGTGATGATTTTTTTATTCGCCGTGAATCAAGAGGGCGGAGCTTAACTGCAAAATAGTTATTTCTTTACAAGAAATTAAAAACATGTTTTTGAGTATCGTATCGTTCAACGAATACAATGTATATTAAGAAAAAAATTGTGATGACCTTTTTTATTTTTAAACGCCGCAAATAACGACGAAAAAGCCTTTTTATGCTGAATATCATTCAAAATTACAATCGAAAAGTACGGTGTCGGAATTTTCTTCACCGAAAGGATACGAATTTCGTAAAAAAACACTTAGGGCCCTGCGATGTTCGAATAAATAAATTAAGGAACGATTAAAAGTCAAAATTTGAAATTTAAAAAACCCAAAAGAAGGCATGTGGTCTTTGGTAACTAATATCTCTTGTGGTGTCCCAGTTTGAATTCAAATTTCGCGCCTACAAGAAAAAGCAACGTCGCGAAACGGGCGGCGGGTCGACTTCTCCAAGTTATCAGTTTGTAAATATTTTAAAAGAATTAGCACACTTAATACATAATCCTATTTTTGTCCAACAAATCTTCTTAAAAAAATAAACTCATCAGTAGAAGGTGTTTGAAAATATAAAAACAGTTTGTTATTTTTTTTGTTCGTATTTTCACACTTTGTTATTTCAATTGCGACTACTATAAACATCAAATTTTTGAGGTTAGCGCGATCAATTTCAACCCCACTTACGCTGTTCTGCCTCGGCCAGCGGTGGCCGTCGGTGACGGTCTCCGTGTCCGACACCTGGCTCTCCTGCGAGTCCACCCGCACCGGCGTCCGCTCTGAGTCTGTGCTCGCCCCAGAAGCCGATGGCGTGCGGTTCGCCGGGAGGTGTGCGACCACGACGTCGTGGTGGTGCGCGTTCACCGGGTGCGTCTCGACCGTGAAGTCGTTCGGCTCGCTCTGCGACAAATCTGCCAACAAATTCGTTACAGCGTCTACCAATCTCGTCGTACCAGGAAAGTGGAACTGTTGTTGTTTCTGACTAGCGTGGGGTGTCGGTATGCTCTGCACGGCGGGACTGGAAGGGGTTGAGCTGTTGCAACTCGACGTGTTCGAGCTGGAGTCGGGGGGCTGCAATCAACACCTGATTTAGCAGAACCTAGTGCGTCATCCGGCGAAAAAATAACCAGACGACTGTGTACACAGTTTAGATAACGTGTTTATAAATCCACGTGTTGAGTCGGATTTGTTTAGCAAACTTTCGCTGATTTAGCGACTTCTACCCACCGGAAACTGCGGAATGTTGATCGAGGGCTGCGGGTGCGACTTCTTCCTCCTGTTGAAGTTGATGATGTTCTTCGTGTTGCTCGCTTTGCCCATGATTGGAGACGAGAAGAACTGGCCGTCGCAAGATAGTTTTTTCTTGAACTCGTCGAGGAACTCCGGCGGGAGGCCGCACGACGGCGTCACCCTCTCCTCGCAGTCCCGGTGACAGGTGTACTTGCACTCCTTGCACTTCAACCCCGTGCCGAAATAAATCTGCTTCTGGCAGTAGCCGCACGTCGCCATCATCTTGAACGTCTTGGTGAACCTGTGGTTGATCTGGTGCGTCATGTTCCTCACTACGGGAGTAGGGGTCCGGGGGGACTTGGGCACTTGTAGACTCGTCGCGGCTGAAACCTCACCTCAATACGGCCCTCCAACCACCCGATTTACTCACATTTGTAGCTATTGTCGTCGCTGTCCGTCCCTGCGTTGTACGGGGGCGACTTAATCGGACTAGTCAGGATCGGACTCGGCGAATCCGTGTCGGGACCCGGCTCGGTGGGCAAGCGCGACCTCTTCCCCGACGGCTTCTCGGAATTGACGATCTCCCCGTTGTCGCCCTTGGCCAACTGCGACTCGTGCGACTTGCTCTTCGTCAAGGGGAAAGAGTCGGCCAACAAAGCCGCACTCTGGATGCCGGTGAGGTGCTTGCGTCGCGGCGGCGGCGTCGTCGGAAACTTCATTCCTAGAAGGCGGCGAATGGTCAAACGATCGAGACTAAGGGCCGGTTTATCAATGCTCAGTTAAAAGTGTCTGTTAAGTAACTCTCAGATAAGGGTAACCAGCAGTTAACGGAGGTAAAGTGTTTATCACTGCACGATGTTTCTTCCAGTTTCGTAGCTCGAAGTTTAGTTGGTAACGCTCACCCCACTGGAAATGAGTTGTGATTGGTCAGCTCAAAACTACCCCGACCTTGAAAGTTCCATCAGATTCGATCCGCTGTCGGTATTCAACGATTGTATATCGCGTTTCACGTGATCAATCATGAAAAAGCAAAATTTAGCATTAGAAAAAAATTGGTCTCAAGAGTTTAGACAGTACTTCCCTCGCTGTCGGAAACTTGACGACTGCATGCCTATTGTGTTTTTTTCTCATTACATTTTTGTAGTGGGAATTTAAAAAAAAATTGCGATGACGTCATCAACATTTTTGCAAGGACACGTATATCAGTTGGGATAGATGTAGTGTAATACTAAGAATAAAATTATTGTATTCCCAAATTTTCGGGAAAATGAATTGGGTCGTTTTGAATATTGATTTGTAATAATCAATAAAATAACGAAACAATTTACTCACTTATACGTATCAGAGGCAACTGAAAATCGTGTATGTATAAACATTCTTAATTTAAGATGACAGGCGTAACAGCATACGTGAGAGTCAAACAGAGAAACTGTAAACAAAACGACCATCGGTTTTATTGCTTCGACTTCCGCTTATTATATAAAATATTGGGTTTTATTTTAATTCTTGACGGTGAAATTCACAATTGGTTGATTATAAACATGTCTATTTCACATTCGCGGAACCAAGTGAGCGCATAAAACAAATGCAGGTCTGTAATGTTAAAGTCGATGTAAATAAGCGTGCTACCCTTATGTTTCAACCGAGTTTTTCCTTTAACAAATTTTGTGTCTACCAAATTGGGTTGGTTGGGGTGTAATACTAATAATAAGTGTTGCCTTTAATTTAATCAATAAAATAAATTGACTTGATTAATTTTTTTGAACCACCTCTTAAGAAAATCTAAAAAATATGAATGGAATGATAAATCACAAGTACAAACTCATCATATTTTTTGCATTATAGATAGGATTTATTCAGCAAAATTTAAGGGTGACGTCATCAATTTTTTTAGGAGGGATGAACAAATACATTTTGAACAAAAGTTTACCATGCTTATAATAACTTTAAAATATTCCCAAGATTTCAAAGCATTCGGTTTTGTGATTCCTGATTAAATCGATAAAATAAATTCACGCCTTCATTAATTTTTTTGAGTCACCCTGCATATGCAAATCCAAAAATATAAATGGAATGATAAATCACAAGTACAGACTCATCATATTTTGTACATTTTAGATACGATTTATTCGGCAAACTTTTGAGCTGACGTCATCAGTTTTTTGTAGAAGATAACCAAATATATTTTGACTAAAAATTTATTATGCTCTTTATAACCTTAAAACATCTGCAAGATTTCAAAGCATTCGGTTTTGTAGTTCCTGATTAAATCAATAAAATAAATTTACGCATTCATTAATTTTTTTGAGTCACCCTGTATATGCAAATCGAAAAAATTTGAATGGAATGATAAATCACAAGAAGAGACTCACCATATTTTGTACATTTTAGATAGGATTTATTCAGCAAAATTTTGTGGTGACGTCATAATTTTTTTAGGGGGGACGACCAAATACGTTTTGATCAAAAATTTACCATGCTTATGATAATTTTAAAATATCTTCAAGATTTCGAAGCATTCGGTGTTGTAGTTCCTGAGTAAATCAGTAAAATAAATTTACACTTTCATTTATTTTCTTGAATCACCCTGTATATGCAAATCCAAAAAATATGAATGGAGTGATAGATCACAAGTACAGACTGATCATATTTTGTACATTTTAGATATGATTTATTCGGCAAACTTTCGAGCTGACGTCATCAAGTTTTTGGAGGGGATAAGCAAATATATTTTGACTAAACATTTATTATGCTCTTTATGACCTTAAAACATCTGCAAGATTTCAGAGCATTCGGTTTTGTAGTTCCTGATTAAATCAATAAAATATATTTACGCATTCATTAATTTTTTTGAGTCACCCTGTATATGCAAATCCAAAAAATATGAATGGAGTGATAGATCACAAGTACAGACTCATCATATTTTGTACATTTTAGATATGATTTATTCCACAAACTTTTGAACTGACGTCATCAAGTTTTTGGAGGGGACAAGCAAATATTTTTTGACTAAAGATTTATGATGCTCTTTATAGCCTTAAAACATCTGCAACATTTCAAAGCATTCTGGTTAGCAGATTAAAAATTAAATTTCAAAATGTTGTTTTATATTTTTGATTTTTTTTCCAAAAATCTGGACGTTTCGGGTGAAAAGTCGATTCAGAGTTGTAAACTACATGTGTAGGACTATGTTATTTTATACAATTGAAAACCCATTTACTATGTACAATTTTGAAGTGACGTCATCGCATTAGTGGTGGGGATGATTAGACAAATTTTGGTTAGCGTTTTACCATCTACATGATATTCTTAATATAAGTACAAAATTTCACAACAATCGGTCGAGTACTTTCGGAGATTATCTGTCTAATAAAAATCCGGGACGGCAGACGGACAGACAGACGGACGGACAGACGGACAGCCAGACGGAAATGGGAGACCTATTTCTTCGTCTTCTAGGGGTCATGAAAGATCGAGAAAACGTAAAAGTAGAGAGTCGGCCGACGGACTCGATTACAATACTTCCTTTGCTTACGCTCGGGAAGTAAAAGTATTGGAAATTAAAAATGAAAAAGTAGGTACACCTATAAATAAATACACAGAGATCGAAAAAGAAATTAGTCAAAGTTGGCCATCCACGAAAAGGCGTTTGTCTTAGTTTAAAATAATTTTTTATTAATCGTCACGTCGACAAAAGTAATTTGCACTGTTATCAAACGAAATTAAAGCTTTTTTGTTGTTAGAATCTTCAGAAATGGGATAAATTTTACACAAAATTGGAAAACGGTGATTTTAATTCATTCTTATGTGTTTGAAAAGTAGGCGTCATAATTCTAATTTTAAACTGTCAATTTGACATTTAAAAAAAAAAATTAAATTACCCTACCACCGTGATTACGACAAACGCCTTGTCGTGCATGGCCTACTTCGATTGATTTCCTTTTCGATCTCGCGGTATTATTAGATAGGTTTTTAATTTTTGGTACAATCGCACGCAAATGTTTTGAGCCTATGGGCGGATCATTTTTGCCTGTCGTCACCGAAGGAGGCGGTCCAAATCGTCCAAGGGCAGAATTTGTAGGTAGGCTCAAACTACAACGAAATTTACGTGTTGACCAAATTCTTACCCTGAATTAGTTTTAATTTTATAAATACCCTATCTAAAATGTTCAGAATATGATGAGTCTATACTTTTTGATTTACCATTCCATTAATATTTTTTGAATTTGTTTATACAGGGTGACTCAAAAAAAATAATGACTGAGTCAATTTATTTTATTGAAGAAATCAAGAATTGCAAACACGGACATTGTTTGAAGTGTATTACATTTCAAAAAGCAAAAAAAATGTTCAGTTTATAAACTTCATAATTTTGGTTTAAAGTTTATCAATCATATTTGACGCTTTATTTTATCCGTTCCATTTGTTATCCTTTACAGCTTTGTTGTGACCACTGAATTATACAAAGAGTAAATTTTGAAATGGAACGAAAGTCGAAGAATACTTTCAAAGCCACGATCAAAATGTATTTGCTTATCTTCGCCAAAAAATGCATGACGTCATCGCAAAATTTGATATGATGAGTCTATACCTTTTTATTAGATTTTTCAGTTTCCATTTTTCTATCAACTTTTCGATTTTATTACTTTCCAATTTTCTGATTTTTCAAGTTTGCGGTATTTTGAATTTTCGAGTTTTCAGTTTTTTCGTTTTTCGATTTTTTAATTTTTCGTTTTTTTGATTTTTCGATGTTTCGTCTTTCCATTTTTAGATTTTTGGATTTTTCTGTTCGTCAGCTTTTCGACTTTGCAATTTTTTTGCATTTTTCGATTATATTTTACTTTCCGATTTTTTTTATTTTTGAATTCTCGATTTTTCAATTTTCCGGTTTTTTAATTCTTCTATTCTCGATTTTTCGATTTTCCATTAATCACTAAATTTTCCATTTTTCGGTTGTTTTATTTTTCGACCTTCGATTTTTCAACTTTCGATTATTCGATTTTCCATTTTCTGATTTTACGATTTTTCGATTTGCGATTTTCGTTTTTCCGCTTTTGTGGTTTTTAGATTTTTCTGTTTGTTTCAGTTTTTATGGTTCTGCAATTTGTTTTATTTTTCCATTTTTCGATTATTTTACTTTCCGATAGTTTGGTTTTTGAATTTTCGGTTTTTCCATTTTTCGATTTGGGATTTTTCAATTTTTCGGTTTTTTAATTTTTCATATTTCGATTTTCGATTTTTCAGATTGGTGGATTTGTGTCCGTTATTTCGATTTTTAGAATATTGATTAATCGAATTTTCGATTTTTGAGCATTTCGATTTTTCGATTATTATTTTTACGATTTTTCAAAATCTCGATATTCGAGTTTTCGATTTTCCATTTTTCAAATTTTCAATTTTTAATTTTGCTTTTTTCGATTGTTGCTTTTTAGAATTTTCCCTTCTTCAGCTTTTAGATTTCAATTTTGTTAGGTTCCGATTTTCCACTTTTCGATTTATTTATTTTTTTTCGATCGTGGTTTTTTCGATTTTCATTTTTCCGATTTTTTGATTTTTCAATTTTTAGGCCTTGCAATTTTTTTACCTTTCGCTTTTTCGAGTATTTGTTTCATCGAATTTTCGATTTTTCGGTTTTTCCATTTTCCGATTTTCCATTTTTAGATATTTTTCGATTTTTTTTGATTTTTCGATTTTTCTGTTCGTCAGTTTTCTATTATTTTA